ACAAACATTAAGAAAAAAAAATTTTTTTTTTAAATTTTTTTTTTAATGTTTTATTTCTAGGAGAGAGAGAGAGAGACAGCGTGAGCAGGGGAGGGTCAGAGAGAGAGGGAGTCACAGACTGAAACAGGCTCCAGGCTCTGAGCCGGCAGTCAGCACAGAGCCCGACGCGGGGCTCGAACCCACGAACCGCGAGATCAGGACCTAAGCGAAAGTCGGACGCTTAACCGACTAAGCCACCCAGGCGCCCCAAGAAAAATTTTTTTAAAAATGTACTTCACCTCTACACTGACGTACTACCCAAGCCTCAGTTATTTACCTCTTAAATGGGAAAGCAAGACACCCCAAATCAGAGAGCAGTACTGAGAATTCTGTTAGACCCCCAGTGAAACATCTGGGACAATGGAGGCAGCGGGTGCCTAATAAATGTTCGCTGCCGTTGTAATCATCATGTCCCATCTGTATCTTGTCCTGCACCCACGGCCAGGAAAACAGTGGGTGCTCAGTAAATACCGAGCTGACCGGAATGAGGGGATGCAGTGGGTCGTGGGGACTAGAGAAGAGAGAGCTCGGGGAGCCCAGGGCTCAGCTGGACCTCAAGGGGAGAACAGGATGAAGGGTCATTCTGAGTCGGGGGACAAAGGGGGTCAGGGTGGACGAGAGGACCCGGACAGTGTATGAGATGGCAGGCGGGCCGCAGGGGGAAGCCTGAGCGAAGCAGAGCGAGATCTTCCTGCTGTGGGAGCCGAGCCCGGGCAGCGGAGCCGAGCGGGGCAGCTGTGAGCTTTGAAGGCCGGGCCCGGGACAATCTGGAAGCATCGTGACGTGCCTGGGAGAAGGGGCCCTCCGGTGCCCGTTGCCTCCCCCCCTGCTATGGGGGCTTCACGTAAATATCAATTTTAACCCCGTTGCAGGGTAGGGAGTGGGGCTCAGAGAAGGGACTTGCCCCGAGTGTGTGAGCAGCAGAGCTGGGACCCAAACCCAAACGGGGGCAGACGCCCAGCCTGGGAGCTGAGCCCCCCCATCCGGGGGCAGGTCCCTCAGGGTCCTCAGAATCATCTGCAGGACCTGGATGGACTCCGGTCGCGGGGCCCCCTCGCTGCCGCAGTCTCAGGGTCAGCAGGTCTGGGGGGCGAGTCCTGAGAGTCTGCATGTCTAACACGTTCCTAGGTGCCGTCGGGCTGCTGGTCTGAGGACCACGCTTCGAGGACCCCCGTCCTAGGGGATTCTGGCTGCTCCACTCGGGAGCCAACCCCCCGTTGGAAACCCAGGTGTGCATCTCCCCGGGGTCTAGAGTTTGCTGCACTCTTGCGCCCAAAGTCAAGGGTACCGGACTCCTTCGCTCGTTCGAACACTCCCATGGTGGGGCTTTCTTTGAACAAGTTACCACGATGGGGGCCATGGGGCTGGGGTCTGACCGTGGGAGACTCAGAGACCCCGAGAAGGGGGGGGACTGCGGTCTGGCCAGGCAGGGGCGGGCAGGACGCAGCTCCAGCGACTCCACAGGCCTGCCCAGCTCACTGGCGCCCGAGGGGCGGAGCGGGCAGCCGGGTAGCACATCGGGCCCAGCCGGACGCGGCACATTCCACAGCATCCAGACACCTGCTGCTGGCTCAGCACACAGGAGCTGTGTGGCTGCCCCTCTGGCTGGGTTCCCTGCCCCAGGGTCCCCCCTACATTACACACCAACACTCCAGAAATAGAGACCCCAGGCCCTGCCACGCACACGGAGAGCTGGGCCCCGGGGGACGGCACAGCAAGAAAGGACCTGGAGGCGCCGGGGACTTGGCAGAGTCAGCCATCCGTGGTCAGATAGATCCCAGCCCCCGGCGTCACAGGCACTTAACCTCCCGGAGACTCAGTTTCCTCCCCTGTAAAAGGCAGATAAACACAGCACCTACCCCACAGACCGGTCACGAGACCGACCACCATTCACCTAACAAACCTTTACTGAGCACTTACGGCACACCAAACAGCATTCAAGGGGCTGGAGGCAAGACAGTGACCAAAGCAGATAAAGCCCGTTGTCCCTCTGAGCTGTCATGCCAGCCGGGGGAAGCCGGGGGATGGCTGGCGCAGGCTCCAGGGCTAGATGCCCGAGTCTCTATCCGGGAACCCCACTTACAAGCTGTGTGACCTTGGGTAACTTAATGAACCTCTCTGTGCCTCAGTTTTCACATCTGTAAAATGAGGCCCAGAGAAAGAGTTGCTATATGAGTTAATAAACATAAAGAGGTTTGAGTAATGCCCGGCAAAGGACCAGGGTTATGTATGTGCTAAAGTTAAAGAAGATAATAGGGACGCCTGGGGGGCTCCGTCGGTTAAGTGTCTGACTTGACTTTGGCTCAGGTCATGATCTCGTGATTGGTGAGTTCGAGCCCTGCGGCAGGCTCTGCACAGACAGTGTAGAGTCTGCTTGGGATTCTCTCTCTCTCTCCCTTTCTCTCTGCCCCTCCCCCTGCTCGCTCACTCTCTCAAACTAAATAAATACATTTAAAACCTAAATAAATAAATAAGACATCAAACATCAGACAATGGCTGGTGCCAAGGGAAAGAACAGAGGCAGGATGATAAACGTACACGGAGGTGAACAGGGAAGGCCCTTCCCCCCCCCCCCCCCCCCCCCCGCCGTCAGCACTGGGCACGAAGCCTGATACGTGGGCCCTGCTCATCCCTGACCTGCTGCTGCTGCTCCCCATACGTTCTATGTCAAGTTTCCAGGCCCTCGAAGGGGCTGCGCTCCCTCCTCCCTGCCCCCCCGCCTGAGGCCACATCACCCACCTGCTGGAGCCGGCACTCCGCAAAGGTGACATGGCCAGGCCGGCAGAGACGGGCAGGGCTGCAGCCTTCAGAGAGGGGGGTTTCAGATGGGCTTGGGCAGGGGGGATGGGCAGGCAGCTCTGCGGGGCAGGGCGCAGGAGCCCAGCTCACCTGCCAGCTCCCTGGGGGCCCTGGGCCCTGGGGGGTGCGTCCCTTTGGCCGGTCCCCGCTGCCGTCACCCTCACTGCTGCGGCCGCAGCTCCTGGGAAGCTCTGAGCTCCGTGCTCTTGTCTGGGTTCAGCGGGACAGGTGTGGTGGCCACTCTGAGTGACGTGTGTGTGTGTGTGTGTGTGTGTGTGTGTGTGCGTGCATCCTTCAGAGGGTGACATCAGGCTGCGTGCCTGGCCTGGTGACACACGGCCGGGGCTGAGAGCGAGCTCCGGGGGCGGATGCCTTACCGGCTCTGGGAGCACTCAGTAAATATTAAACAGCCCCTGGCACACCCCACGAGCTTCCAGAAGGACACGTGCAAGCCAGTGGCTCCAGCCCTCACGTGCGGCCACCGGACGGCCCTTCTGCCTGGTTGTCATTGGGAAACACTTTGTCGGGGGCCCGGTGCTCGGCCACTGCACATGCGGGACCTGGAGGCGGCCCAGGCTGGGCGTGGCCGTGGGGCATTTATAGAACCCATTGGACCCGTTTCGGGTGAGGACCCAGGGGGCCGACGGTGCGGGCTCACCTCTTCTCCTGTCCTGGCGGCATGGATGGGCGGGCGCGACAAGTGACACATGCACAGCAGTGTGAACACCTCCAGTACATCCTCTGCCCCCAAACGCCCCCCCCTTGAAAATCAAAGGTTCCTGCTTGTCCCACCCACATGTGCCAGCCATCTCAGCAGATGAATTCCTAAGGTGACGAAGACAAGGCAGAGGCCCCAAGCTCAGGAGGGCACCCTCCTGACAGCCCGCGGGAGAGGAGCCCTGGCTGAGGAGTAACAGGAAGGGGTTAAGAGCAGCCATGCCTGTGAATCGGGGCGGAATGGGACAGTGTCATTCCTAGCAATCAGTCACACCTTAGTATAAAATTTCCCCACCAGACGGATCACTTCTTCAAGTGAACTCTTTGATTATAGAATAAAAAGCCATGTCCAGAGTCAAAAGGGTTTCAGGTGCCAGGGCAGGGGCGGGGGGTAGGGACAAAGGGGACGTCAATGAGCTTTAAGTCCTCTGGTCTCCTATCTGAGGTTATTTTTACCTGCCCTGCCCCAGCCGCTGAGCGCCTTGGCAATATGTCTGTGTTTCAGCCTGGTTGGATTACCTGAGAAATAAGGCCAGGAGGTGAGGTCTGAAACCTAATCTAGGCCGTCCGGCCCCAGAGCCATAGGTCCAGACTCCTGGGAGTTGGCTGGAGATGGGAAGTTAAAAATAGATGTGCTCTTCCCCACCTTTGTGGGCAGATCTTCTCGCCTGGGGGCAAGGGGCCTGAAGAGACCAAGGCCTGATAGTGGCCACTCAGGGACCTCAGAACCCACCCGGGCTGGGGGTTCTCCAGAATCCTCAGCGCAGGGGGGCTGCCAGGGAAGGAGCCCCCAGGGGACGTCCAGGGCATTTACAGCCATCAAGGTCATCCTTCTCAGACCGGGATGCAGACCTTGCCGGACATGCTCTTGTCTTTGCTGATGGCCAGTGAGCCATAGTGGGACAGGGTCAGACCCCCTCTGTCCCCTTCCCACCCGGAGTGCGGAGCTCAGGACTCCTTGGAACAGTGCCTGGGCACAGCTCCTGACAGGGGCCTGTGGGAACATTCCCATGGATTCAGGGAGGGCAGGGGCCCCCAGGGGCCCCGCATGGGGAGGGCTGTACGCACGACCAGGCACAGGCAAAGGATTCATGAGGCCCCCGGTGCCAAAGAAAATGCAGGGCCCTTTTTCCAAACTGTATAAAGAGCTTCTAGGGGCACCTGGGTGGCTTAGTCGGTTAAGCGTCCGACTTTCTCTTAGGTCATGATCTCGCGGTTCGCAGGTTCGAGCCCCGCATCGGGCTCTGTGCTGACTGCCAGCTCGGAGCCTGGAGCCTGTTTCAGTCTGTGACTCCCTCTCTCTCTGACCCTCCCCTGCTCACGCTGTCTCTCTCTCTCCTAGAAATAAATAAAAATATTAAAAAAAAAAAAAAGAGCTTCTAGATGGCGGGGTGCCTGGGTGGCTCAGCTGATGAAGCATCCAACTCTTGATTTCAGCTCAGGTCATGATCTCACGGTTCGTGGGTTCCAGACTCTGTGCTGACAATGTGGAGCCTGCTTGGGAGTCTCTTTCTCCTCTCTCTCTGCCCCTCCCCTGCTTGCACTCTCTCTCAGAATAAATACATAAGCATTAAAGGAAGGAAGGGAGGGAGGGAGGAAAGAATTTCTAAATGGCAACAGCAGGGCATTACACGTGAGCGCAGGGCCCTAGCAAGCTTCCAGATCGTATCCTCACGCAGCTGGCCTCGGCCACAGGGTCTGGGGACCTCCCCCAGTGCCCCCCACTGCCAGACCGTGGGAACAAAACCCCCACAGTGCCTCTGTGTGAATTAAAGAAAGCTGCCCCTCTCTGGGCGGACCAGCTGCACGCCAGGGCACACAGCTTAGGAGAGTTACATGGACGACCTGTGCAACTGTCCTTAGCAGCCCTGATTACAGACCCCATGGGGTGGGGGCCCTGATGACGCCCAGAAGAGGCAGCTTGAAAGGGGTTCCATTAGGGGACATGATCATTCTCTGGCCAGTTGACTTAGCCCTTCCCAGCTGCATTTATGGAGTGCCTACTGTATGCCTTCCTCACAGTGGCATCCACACTCTTTCCTCGTGGAGGCTGGGAGTCCGAGGTACTGGGTGCTCACTCTCTCTGGGGCTTTAGTTTCCTGTGCTTCAGCCCTTTAGGCCCCCCTCCCTGACGCTATGCATGTCCTCGCTGAGGTCCACAGAGCCCTCCCGCCCCCCTCCCTCAAGTCTATCCCCCAAGACAGCTTCACACCCACTTTCTGTGCCTCAAATCTCATCCCCACCCCAGGACCTTTGCGCTGGCTGCCCCTTCTGCCTGGAAGACTTCCCCAGCCCCACATGCTGTCTGCATGTGATCAACTTCTCTTCTCTCTGGCCTTAAAGGTGCCCCTGCCTCACTGGGGGCCTCCTCTGAGACCCCCGCCGCCCTCCCACATCCCCGTTTAATTCCTTCACCTGCCACCAGCTGGATCCATTGTGATCATCGCTGGCTTATTACTCGCTGCCCTGGCGGGCGGGTGGGGCCCGGTTCCGTCCCCAGAGCCCGGCACACGGCCTGCGCAGAAGAGGCGCTCCACAAATATTTGTAGAATGAATTAGGGATTCCTAAGCATGCCTCCTGCTGAGATACTCCAGGATTTCACCCTGAGATGCCGCCCCTCCCGGGCAGAGGCTGGAATGAGCAGCCGGAGACACAAGCAGGCGAGCTGGGCCCGGCACCACTGGGGGCGAGTGTGCAGCTGAACGCGGGGAAGGGGCCACAGGGGGCCCTGGTCTGGGGTGCGGGTGGTCCGCAGGCCCAAAGGTTAAGCAGCGCGGGGCGGGAGGGACAGGAGAGACCCGGGGGAAGGCACTGTCTGTGTGAAGTCCCCGAGGGGAAGGCGGTCGATGTGGCAAAAGCGGCCGATTAGAGAGGCCCAGGGGGCTGTGCGCTAGGCCACGCGAGGAGACTGGCCTGTATTCTAGGCCGATGGGAACCCCTGAAGGGTTTCGGGTAGGAGAGGGCGGCGATGAGACTTGGTTGTTGACTGACTCACTGGCCAGCCATGTTCGGAGCCCCACTTGGCTGGGAGTCCGGCCTGTCCCCCAGATTTGCTCAGACAGATGTTTGAGCCCCTCGGGCTTGGGCCCCTTGGGATGCCCGAGGGATTGCTCCTCCCCCCCCACCCCCACCCCCAGCCAGCCTGCTAGCGGACAGGAAGCTCCCCAGGCTTGCACAGTGCCCTGCATGAAGCCCAGGACCAGTCTGTGGCCCCCGGGAGTGGAAACGAGCCTTCCTCCTGGGCACTACCTGCGGAACAGCCTGAACTCGCGTCTAGAGGGGCAGCACTGAGCCCAGGCCCATCTCTGCAGACGCTGCTGCTTCTCCTTTGAAAATGTCCCGCAAGCACGTGTGCCGCTGCCCCCTTGAACTTGTGACAACTCTGTGGGGGAGGGACCCTTGTGATCCTCATTTCACAGATGAGGAAACCGAGACTCAGAGAGGCGAGGTCACTTGCCCCAGGTCACAGAGCTGGGATAGGTGGCTCCATGTCCCATTCTATCAACAGGAAGAACATTCCATCCTGACCCCGCCCCCAGGAGACTGAGTTCCAGGGCTGAAGGAACCAGTCTTGCTGTGTGGCCTTGGGTGAGCAGCTCCACCTCTCTGAGCCTGTGTTTTGAGTGGGCCTGAGCAGCTCAGGCAGATGACTTCCAGGACCGACTGCCGGGAGCTTGGGAGATGAGACCCCTTCGGGTCTCAAGGAAATGACAGGTTTCTCCCAGCACCAAGTGTCGCACACGTACACGCACGCACGTGTGCACCCACGCTGTCCTGGGCCGCAGACTCGGCAGGAGAGCGAGCTGCAGCGTCACGGGCAGAACTTACGCGGTCCTCCGGCTCTGAGCACTGCTGAAGCCCGCGAAGGAGGCGCTCCGGCCCACGACCCCCACGGCCCCCGCGTCCCCAGAGGACAGGAACCGCAACCTCACCGACATGGCCGTCACCTACGGGGAGAGGAGAGGAGAGTCAGCCTCACACCGCCCCCCTCTGAGTGCTGGTCACGGCTGCTCCCCCTCCACCATGGCCCCCAAGGTCCTGACTACAGCCCCAGAAAGGGGGCAGCCGGTACTGTCCCCAGCTCACAGATGAGAAAACCAAGGCTCAGTGAGGGTGGGCGACTGCTTGGGGCTGGTGGCAGGAGCGAGATTTGAACCCGGGTCTCTGTACTCTGCGCCCGGGTTCTTAACAACTGAGTCCTGCTGAGTCCTCCAGCGGGAGGACTCAGCTCGTCCTGAAACCATACCCGACCTCTTCTCGGCTACTCCTCTCTGCCAGTCACCCTCACCACCCCCAACCCCTCAAGGAGTGCTGTGTGCCCAATGCTGTGCTGGAGACACGCACTGAGCAAGACAGGCAAAGTCCTTGCCCCCCAGGGCTCCCAGTCTGGCAGGGAGGCTGATGAGCTATCGGTTACAGGGGAGCCCAGGGGAGACTTGACCCAGCCATGGAGGAGGCGACCAACTGCTGAGAAGGAAAGGCTGATAAAGGAGAAGGGAAGGGGGTGGAAGGGTGTCTGAGGCAGAGGGAACAGCATGGGCAAAGGCCCGGGGGTACAGAGGACACTGTGTAATCCAGAAACAGAAAGAAGAGCTGTGGTTTGGGGCATGACTCCAGGCGAGGCCGGAGAGGCCCTGAGTGCAGCTCATGGGGGGCCTTGGTAACCCCGGGGAGCAGTTTGGCCTTGCAACTGGGCAGGGGTGACGGGGAGCCACAAGAGGGTTTTGAGCAGGGGTGACAGAGCCCAACTCGCATGAGGCCAGGCTGCTGGCATCCAAGCCCTCTGGAGTCCCTGGACCCGCCGCCCCATCCCTGACCCAGGCTGCAATGAGGCCAGCCTAGAACCTGGCTGTCTTCCCTTTTTTCCAAACCACCTCTGGATTGGAAAAATGCCGCCACATCCCTTGGGAGGATCACCAGTGTCTTCCGGCACCAACAGACGAAGGTTCTTCTGTGAATCTAACCCGAATGTCTGCTGCTGCGGTTTCATAGCTGCCTCCCGGGCCAGGGTGGAGTCAGCCCAAGGATCCCAGGGACCCCCCTGCCCAAGCCAAGCCTCTAAAAAAGCTCCAGCCCCTCGTATCGCTGCTCGGTAAGGCCCCTGCCCCCTTCACCTGCCACAGTCCCCACCTCTGCCCAGGGCCGGGCCTCCTGGAATAATGTCATCTTTCCAGCACGTCTGCCCGGTGTCCTGCCCTGCACTTCATGTGTGGTCGGCCCCCACCGTAGGCTCCAGGCCCCCTCCCCACCGGAAGATCCGTGCGGCCCCCTCCCCTCCCCTCCCCTCCTCCCAGGCTCCCCCCGCCCCCACCCCACCCCATGCTGTACATAGGTGAGCAGTGGAAACCAAACAGGCCAGACATGGGCTCAACCCCCAGCTGTGGCTCGCGACGGCTCCCGGCCCCAGCGGTCACATTTGCCAAATGGAAAGTAAAAAAAAGACCCAAAAGACCATGTGCTGAGGGTACGCGGAGCAAGAGGGAAAGCGCTGGTTGTCTCTGTGCATCAGGCCGACAGAGGCCCGGCCCCGCTGGCATGAGCCCAGTGGGCACCCTTGAGCCCCTACGGGGGAGGCTGGCGCGTGTCTGCTGGGCACCCAGTGTGCGGCGAGCCTGTCCGGATCCGTGAACAACAGCTCTGTCGGGAGCCACTAGCTACTGAGTGCTGCTGTTAAGTCAGCCCTGCGCTAAATGCCTCGTGGAGATTGTCTTATTAAGTCTCCACAGTCCCCAAGGCCTCAGAGCCGTTGCTGACCTACTTCAACAGCTGGGGAAATGAGGCCCGGAGAGGGGACGAGACCGGCCGAGAAGCCAGCGTGGAAGCGGAGGGACAAGCTGGGAACCTGCATGTGATGGGTTGCAGACCCCAGCTCCTCCGACTGTGCAGACATCCCCGTCCCCGCCCCTAGGAGATGTCCCCACGGTCCCCACCTGTGCCGGGCGGCTGCCGGCCTGGACCAGCTCACGGGCGTCAAGCATTACTTTCTCGGGAATTTTGGGAGCTTGAAATCAGCCACGGTAGGAATATTTACACCCTGGATGTTGGCAAGTGCTCCACACGTGGCCTGTTGTTTTAGTTTTTCTTCCAGGTTATCAAACATTTATCAGCACGCCATTGCCCACCACTATCGGTACGAGCTCAGGGTGGCACCGAGGACCTTGGCGAACTCTTGAGAGCCCCCAGGCAAGCCAGACAAGGGAATGAGTGGGGAGTGGGAGGGAGATCACCAAGGTCACTGGTTAGGAAGAGTACCTGGTACCAGGCTGGGGGCTGGGGGCTGGGGGCTGGAGGCTGGGGGCTGGGGGCTGAGGCTGGGG